CACACCGCTTGTGCAGTGACAAAGTCTGAAAAGCCCCTGGAATTAGAACCTACGTTCCTAGATTTCGCAACGTAAACTCCAATGCACTGCGTAATCGACGTTGACAAATCACAGTTTTTCAAATCAGCCTTTGTCTCTCCGGTCCGGTTCGGGGTAAAAGAGGACCACCTCACATCTTACCCTCCGATTCATCCCAAAGGTCCTATTTATAAAACGTTACATTTAAATATATTTGATATTCGTTTATATACATATATTTTTAAATTACTGAAAAAATATATATATTTCTTTATTTATCTCAATATGTTGAAATTTTTATATATATAACATACCACTACACAAAAAATATAATGATATAGAAAGATGTTAAAGACATACAAGTTGTTACCATTACTTGTTAACTCATTAACTAGTGTAAGGTTACAAAATTGTTTCTTTTTCTCACACAATAAATTAATTTGTTATCATAAACAAAATAATTATTAATATTTATAATTTTTCCAAAAAAAATATTCTAATTGCAAAATTGACTATTTTTTAAACGTTATTATAAAATTTTAATTATAATCAATTTCTTCACATGAAGAAAACAATTTTAGGTTGTAATATATATTGGGATCACAAAAACAACAACAAAACTAATAATAATAATAATAATAATAAAACTAATAATAATAATAATAATAATAATAATAATAATAATAATAATAATAATAATAATAAGGTAATCATATCCTTCTAGAACTAATGAGGATATTTTGGAGAGGAGATAATGACATATGTGTCATTATTATACTATTTTATTAGGATATGTATAACCAAATTAATCAAATAAAATGCGTGGAAAACATTCAAAGCTTCTGCTAATAGAAAGTTTTGTAATTTTAAAACTTTCCCTAATGGCGTCTGTTAAAGCTTCATGATGCTTTTGCTTTTCTAGTTACAAATTAATATAATATTTACATATAATTTGGGGACCCGCAAAAAGGAAGAATCTCCTCATCCATAGCTGACCCGACCCGACCCGACCCGACATAATAGAATGTACCAATTATACATTCATATAGTGTGTGATTATATGCATGTACAGCCCTAATTCAAATAAATTATATGAAACCAGATGTAAGTTTTTGGTCTAACATTTGCGAATCGGAAGCCAAATCCAATTTTTCCGCCCCTTGGCGTATACATATCATCTAAGCATCGTAATCCATTTGTGAATGTTTGGACAACGGTCCACAACTCTCTTAAAAGAATCTAATGTAAATAAATTTATGTGCATATATATATATATATATATATATATATAGGGAGAGAGAGAGAGAGAGTCAAACTTAAAACCTTTTTTTTGGTTTCTTTTTGTAGATTCGAAGAATATATCACCCTTTTTTTTATTTGTCAGAGTAAAATACAATCTTATCTAAATTGCCCGAGTGTTATTGTGTCACCGCAAGCATAGGTTTGACGTAATAAATATACATGTGTAGTGTATGTATATGTATCTTGTGTGTATATATATACACGTCTCGCTTGCCTCAGCTAGAACGCAACTCTCCTCTTTATATCAAACACAAACACATACATATATACACACTCAAAACTTACACACACATGGAGTCGGCGGCGGCGGTGGCGGCGGCGTGGGAGTGGACGTCCGGTGGACTCCACCGAGTGATGTGCATGCAAGGCGGCGAGGATGACGTCAGCTACATCAAGAACTGCGAGGGACCAGCGTGCGCGATCACCCTGTGCAAGCCGATGCTGATGTCAGCAATCCAGTCCATGAACCTCCACGAAGAAGAAAACGACAAGAACAAGACGCTGAGGATAGCTGATTTGGGATGTGCGACTGGTTACAACACGGTGGCGACGGTGGAGATGGTGGTGGAGGCTCTGCGGCGGCGGTCCAAGGAGCCGCCGGAGGTGGAGGCCTTCTTCTGCGACTTGCCCTCCAACGATTTCAACACCTTGTTCCGGTGGCTCTCCGACAATAGGAAAGCTTCCACCAGATTCTTCGCTGCCGGTGTCGGTGGCTCCTTCTATACGAGGTTGTTCCCCACCGGAAAACTCCATGTCGCCGTCAGCCTCAGTGCCTTGCATTGGCTCTCTCAGGTCTCTCCCTCTCTCTCTGTATATATATGTGTGTGTGTGTTAACATCTACTTCTTCTTGTTTTACCAATCTTTTTGGCTTATGATAAGGAGAGAATTCCGTAAACAGTCGTTACATATTCATGTAAAATATGCGGTTTTTAAACTACACTCAAATTCGTGGACACCCAAGTGAGATTGGACCAGAAAGTTGTAAGATTTCTAGAATTATAGTTGTCTTTGCCATGTGTGTGTGTATATATATATGTATATATCTTTATTCCTTGTCTAAAATTGAGGAGACAATATGAGAAATCATTATCTTTCAGGCAATTACACAGATAATCATCTTGTATTCACATAAATCTAACAGATAAAATTATGTTAAGAGACAAAACCTAATGCCCTAATAAGATAATAATCAAATCCCATAAGCATCAAAATCTCGGATCGGATCTATGATTGGAAACGACAGATACCAGAGAGGGTGTTGGAAAAGGGAAAACGGACATGGAACAAGGGGAGGGCGTGGATAGAGGGAGCCGAGAAGGAAGTGGTGGATGCTTACGCGGAGCAGTCGGACAAGGACTTGGACGAGTTCCTCAGATGTCGGAAGGAAGAGATGGTGAAAGGAGGAGTGCTGTTCATGTTGATGGGAGCTAGACCCTCTGGTTCAAACAGCCAGTTATTGGATGATGACTCCAGAGATAAGCACCCTTTCACTATTTCCATGGATCAAGCTTGGCAAGACTTGGTTGATGAGGTAACATATATCATATGCATGTACATACACATATACATGATACATCTATTTTGCGATAATAATAATAATAATAATAATAATAATAATAATAATAGTAATAGTAATAATGGCGACGTGATAATAACACGTAACGGTCGGTCTATGACATAAGGAAAAAAAAATGGGGCATATGCATTCACGTTTCATGACAAAAAGGTCCAAAGCTTTCCCTCCTTGAAACCCGACATGACATCACACTTAACGTCACCTTTCTCATGTTTTAGAACCTTTGTCATTTTATTAAAGACCCTTCAAACGTTGAAGACAATACTTTTATGATCAATCGGTGGGGAGAGGAAAGAGCACATACACAATATTGTAATTTGATATTTTTCCTAATCAATTTGATTCGAACCATGCATTTTATAATATATATATATATATGTTATTTGGTTAATGAAAAACGGGGGCTTTTTTTGCATATTTTTATCAAGTTACTACACGTTTTGAACCGAATACAAAGTTTACTATATAGAATATACTACTAAATTGATACATATATATAGAATAGAATATATCCTAATAATTTTTTTTGTGTTCATTATTTGGAAACTCTACAAAAGGGGCTGATAGACGAGGAGACAAGGGATGGATTCAACATACCGGCGTACATGAGAAACGCGGAGGAGGTGGCGGCCGGGATTGACCGCTGCGGCGGATTCAAGATCGAGAAAATGGAGTACATGAAAATCCCCGAACACTCGGACGAGAAACAAGAGGCTTCGAAGAAAGATCCCGTCTCGTACGGACGAGCCAGAGCCAACCTGGTCCGAGCCACCCTCAGGCCGATGGTCGAGGCCTATATCGGTCCCTACCTGTCCGACCAGTTCTTCCAACGATACGAAAACCGCGTTTCTTCCAACACAAATCTTCTCCACAAGACCTGTTTCTATGGCGTGATCGTTGTTTCTGCCACCAGGGTTTAACGACATACACACACACATATATATATATATATTGTGTTGGGTGTCTCTTATAGTTCAGTGGGCTTTATTTAGGAGGCGGGTTGATTATAGTATACGATAAAATATGTTATAATGCATGCATGTCTAATCTTTTTTATATATAAAGTGTGCCGAGCGCTATCAAAATGAGTGAATAAAATAATTAAAGGATGTACTTATTTGGACCTATATATACCCAATATTTATATCACTCTCACGTAAAAAAAAAAAACATTATCCCAAAAAATTTCAATGTAAGAGCTTGTTCGGACAAGAAGCCGTTCCATGTTTTAGTGTGACGGACAAAGAGGAGAGAGAATGCGGCAGTGGCTGTCTCTCTCGAGCCTGAGCTCACCGCTGGCTCGGCGTGGCCGCTCGGTATCGACAGCATCGGCCGCTGGTTTCTTCCTCTCTTCCATTAAAATCAAAGGGTTCGACCTGAAAACGTTAAAGCAGGGCCATTGTTTCATGATCACAGGAGGGCTTTACCACGACAACCTCGTTGTTTCCAAATTCATCGACGCCTGTTCTTCAGGAGGCAATGTCCGATATGCTTACTCGGTCTTTGTCCACCAGCCATGTCCCAATACTTATCTCCATAACACCATGATCAGAGCTTTGTCCCTCACGGACGAACCTGAGTCACACGCAATGGCTGTGATGGTTTACAGGAAGTTCCGGGCTTCGTGTCTGAGGGCAGACACATACACTTTCCCGTCTGTGCTTAAGGTTGTTATCAGATTATCCGATGTCTGGCTGGGTAGGCAGATTCATGCCCAGACGGCGGTTTCAGGGTTAGATTCCAGCGTCCACGTCGTTACAGGTTTGATTCAGATGTACTCCTCGCACGGTGCCATCTCCATCGGAGATGCACGCAAGGTGTTCGATGAAACGTATGTGAGAGAAACAGCTGTCTGGAATGCTCTCATAGCTGGTTATACCAGGGTCGGAGACATGGGTGAAGCGAAGATTTTACTGGAGACGATGCCTTATTGCTCAAGGAATGTGGTTTCATGGACAACTGTGATTTCTGGTTACGCCAAGAGCCACCGAGCAAGAGAAGCCATTGAAATGTTTCAGAGAATGCAGCAGGAGAATGTCATGCCAGATGAAGTCGCGGTTTTGGCTGCGCTCTCGGCTTGTGCCGACATGGGTGCACTTGAATTGGGTGAATGGATCATACGTAGGTATGACCACTGTCTGAACAGATCAGTTGCTATGAACAATGCCCTGATTGATATGTATGCAAAATCAGGGAACATAACAATGGCAATGGAGGTGTTTGAGAGTGTTAAAGAGAAAAATGTCGTGACCTGGACAACCATAATAACCGGACTGGCGATGCACGGACTAGGCCAGGAGGTTTTCCATATGTTCGGTCATATGGAGAAGGGGGGTGTCAAACCGAATGGAGTAACCTTTGTCGCTGTCCTTTCGGCCTGTAGCCATGTCGGGATGGTCGATCTAGGACAATGGTACTTCAGTGAAATGAGATCAAAGTACGGGATCAAACCCAAGATTGAGCATTACGGATGCATGATTGACTTGCTGGGACGAGCCGGGTTACTCCAAGAAGCGGAAGAACTTGCCACTGGTATGCCGTTTGAGCCAAACGCCGCCATCTGGGGATCCCTTCTGGCCGCTTCGAATGTTAATCGTGATCTCGAGCTCGGAGAACGGGCTCTGAAGCATCTGATAGAGTTAGAACCCGATAACAGTGGGAATTATATGCTTATGTCGAATTTATACTCGAATCTGGGGAAGTGGAACGAGGCGAGGATGATGAGGAAGATGATGAATGGCATTGGTGTCAAGAAGATGACTGGAGGAAGCTCCATTGGAGTGAGAAACAAGGAATACAGATTCATCTCAGGAGACAGCTCTCATACTAGGTTCAATGAGATAGCTGAACTCCTTCAGGACATAGATTGGCAATCACAGAGCAACGGAGAAAGTGAAGAGGAACACGAATGGATATGACTTGACGAGCTCTGAGGGAAAAATAATGAAACAAGTACTGGTCCCTGATCCGGCTTCTGACAGATTCCGATGGTCGAGATCACGGAGTCGAGTGTCGGAACCAGCCCAAAAATTCTCATCGGAGACAGAAACAGGCGACGAATCTCGTGTGTGTAGGATGCTTTTGCGGAAACGTAGAAACTCCGGCTACATTGTCGAAAGAACCCTAGTACCTCGCCGGAGATTGCCTTTAATCGAGCTACTACTTACTTCGCAACTCGGATCGAAACCCGAGGAGAAACTCTTGTATCTGACGGAAAATTCTGAGTCGGAGATGAACAATGATGCGATCGTATTGATCGATTCGCAGATGCCGGAGTTCGTTCTCGGGCCAAGGAGACGACGACGACGACGAAGCGATTTGCCGAACATCTTGAACAGTCGCTGAATTGCGTTTTCATAGTTATCATACTAAACCCCTTGTATTTCTGCGTTGGTGTGCTTTTTGTCCTAACATTTTAAGATTTGACAATTTCACCCCTTCTCATCGTTTGAAATTCTCATAACTGCCTAATTTTAACGTTAAAACAGAAGTGCCAGAGCCTCCTGATCAAAAGGCGGGTTATGCCCGAGGAGAATTGAGAGACCCCCTCTAAGAACGACGGCGTTTTAGGGGTGTTGTATTGGGCCTGGGCTTGGGCCATTAAAGCTATATCCAATTTAACATTACTTTATTGATAAATTCTAATTTATAAATCACTACTAATTGTTTCTGCCAAAATTCATTACAGTTGCCGGGGTTACACTCTTAATTTCAGCAGTCGGTGGAATGAAAATTCAATCTCCATACGAACTTAAACGATAAAAAATTATAATAATTTTTTTTAAAAAAAATCAAATTGTTAAAACTCAAATAACCTTATATTAAACAAAACTATATAATTTCTGTCATTAACTTTTTTCATATTTAAATGTTTTTGTTTTGAACATCATAACTAACACAATCTTCGGCGTTATGGTAAGAAAAATAATGATGATATATTAGACATAGATATTAAAATATTTCTGTAATGTAAATTTTAATTTCCCAAAAAAAAAAAACTTTCTAAGCGCGTTAAACTGCTCAATTGTCGTAGTCAGTACGTGGCGATCCGAAATGTACGGATCCTCGAAGGTAATACGTGGGGTGGGTTTTGTCCGAACTCCAAACCTAATTAACTTTCTTTAACCCCGAAATGATTAAAACATTAATTATCAATTTACAGACATCGAAAAGAGGAAGAAGCACAGTAAACGACAAGTCACCACGTGAGATTAAGATTTGTAATAACATGCAGTTGCTTCGTTTGTCTAATTAACTTAAATCATTTTTCATACCATTCGCCCGGCAACGTATCATGGGCTCCCCAATTTACGAAATTCATTATATATATATATATATATATATATTCACATTGTTATTCTTGAAAATCTCCTTGGGTCAGAAAAGAGTTAGCATAAAATTTGTATATTATTATTTTAAATCCGATCAATAATTCAGATAGTATCAAAATGAGTAGATTCACCAAGATTACGTACGATACTCTTGACGATATTGTTCGATGAATTGGATATTATAATATGCGTTTTATAATGATGAGATATCATTGATATTATATGATAATTAAATGTATATACATATAGTGGTCGTTAGGTTTGGTGTATTTGATTGAAATTCTGTAACGATCCATAAATAAAATACGCAGTGAATTTCTTTGGTGACAGCTACTTGATCTGAAACCAATACAGCGCAAAAAAAAAAAATCAATTGACATTATAAATGTCAAATTATGAGATAATTATTCTTTTATAGAAAATGAGGTTGTATTATTACATCCACCATAATCTAATTTTTAGTGGAATTTCTAATATACTACAAAATTTACAATGAATATACACACACACACACACACAAGTGATGTATATTAAGAGTTTAGTGTTATAGTTATTTGTTTTAGGTTTGATTTGCGGAAACATATCAATTGCATGAGGTTAATATATGTAAGATATGTCTAATAGACAATAATTCTTTGTACATTGGTGTAGTGTGTGTGTGTATATATATATATACACATATGTATAGTTGGCAAACGCATAGATTATATGGTAATTCTATATGCATATTTGTTGTTATTCACATGAAAGCAGCAAAAACTGGTAAAAAGAAAGAAGCTTAGCAAAATAATATATACATTAAAACCTTGAGGGGAAACATATGATAAGAATTTTAATAAAAAAACATATGAATATGATAATAATTACAAGAATTACTTAAATTCTACATAGAAGAATAGAGGTGGAAAGACCCAAACTCAGTTGGAAAATGACAAGTCCTCTCTACACGAGATTGTGAGTTCGATTCCTCTTGAACTCCGAGTTTTCTTTGAATCGGTCAGTTTCGACTGTTTTATCCGTTCCGCGTGGTTTGTCGGCTATTGCGTATGACCGGAGGGTTTACTATCCGAGATATCGTCCGGTCCGCGCGGCCGAACGGTGTCTGGTCCGAAGGAATGTGGAGACGGGTTCCCACCGTATAAAAAAGGAACAAAGGTTAACCATGCGTGCGGGGCTAAAGCATCTTTCGTAGCCTCTCTTTATCAAGACAACATTATAAACTAGAAATCCGTATGATTAACACGACTGTCCAATTAATCGTATAATCTATTTCTTGTGAGCATACACAATAAATATATAAATATATAACGAAGCAATATTGAAACACTCAATAGTAAGTTTTGACGAAACAAAATTAGTAAGGTCTCATATTTATCAAACATTTGATGTCATCTGGGAAATTGAAAATTAAACGATGTTATTAAATATCTTATTTTGGATTTTTTTTTACGGTTAAGATCATCCATCTATATATATATATAAACACATACGTATAATCATTACTCATATATATATATATATATATATATGTAGAGTTGTAATATGATTATCATAAAGTTTTAAGATTATTAAGCTGTAAAGCAATAATCTTTTGATGATTAAGCTGGTGGGAGTCCAGCTAAGATTTGTTTAACAAAGAAAGAACATTCGAACGATGATGATTAGCCCCCTCTCTCTCTCTCTATATATA